CCTCATGTACGGAGAACTACTACCGCGGTTGCTTGCATCACGTCATGTGGGGGTAGTAGGTTGTTTTGTCGAGTTTCGCGCGAAAACCTTTCTCACATAAATATATCTCGAGCGAAGAGCGGGTTTGGGCAGGGCAACCAATAAACACCTAAGCTTAACACTCCCGGCTTCGTACAATAGTGCGATGCCACAATAGCTCGTTGGAGGTTTATCCTTATCTGTAACGGTGGTGGATACTGCGTGTGACCTGAGGTTCTGAGAAAAACAGCACACCATTTTAAGGTTCCTTGGTCTGTTGCTCTCTTGGACTTCCATCTTACTTGTTGGGGGTTGGTTGTCGCGACCGCAAAACAGTTCGGCTGGTAGCCTTGGAATTAAAAGGCACGTGGAAATGTCGGAAGTCAGGTTTTCAACACCAACAACCACCACCACCACCACAGCAACAAGAGAGGATTCACCCACGAGTTAGGTTACTGCATGAGAAAGACCAAGACAACGGCTGGAGCGGGTGTACACGGAGTGGCAGGGGAAGGGAGTGATCAAACCTGACAATCGTCTGTAGTCGTGCCTTCGATTCCAACGAAGTGGATACATGAACAACTGTTGGAGAGACTAGACACAACAATCCCTTCACCTGATGTCGTCGTGCACGTTCACGAAGTCCTCCCCAAGCGACTTCAGCAGCTTCGGCTCCATGGAGCAGGGGCCCAGCACAATCGTACGCATCAACTCCGCGAAAAGCCCGCCCCAGATTGTCCCCGCCCCCGGGGACGCCAGTCCACCATCCCCTCCCAATAATCCGCCACCTCTTCTACCCGCGCGCGACAGCTTGGCAGCCGAGACGCACAGAATGGGCTCGATCTCCACGAACTGCATAAGAGTGCGCAACGCCGGGCCCTGGCAAGGGGGGTGGATGCGGTGGACGAGGTTTATTAATTGCGCACGCAGACAGTCGATTACATGTGCAAAAACAAAGAAACGTCTACATACATCTTTAAATGTGAAAAAACTCTGGGAGGGGCGGGGGTGTGGGTGACGAGAGAAAACAGAGCGCGAGACTGGTGTGCCGGAACAAGAGTGCGCGGGGACAGGGAGAGAAGAGCACCCCTCGGGGAAAAAAACACTTGATCATATTCCGGAAAGGCGACGCACTGAGCCGCGTTTCGAGATATCGCTTGAGAGCTCCGAATCGCAGGGTTTTCAGGCTGGGGGAGGCGCGCACCTGAGACAAATCTCCACCTTGAAGCTATGCGGGACAATGCAAATGCCAACTACTAGACCCGGTCGACTACGCTTGCCAATAGAGGGCTCGACGCACCGATTCACGAGTGAGATACGGCCTATTTAGGGACGCACATACAACGTGTTGTTTCTCTTTCTGCTCCCACGAAACCCCCATCTCCCGTTGGCAAGAAATGTAGGTACAGCGCAGAATCCGGGTTTCAACAAGAGAAATGTACGTACAGTAGTGCAAAACTCGGGTTTCAACAAGGACAGCGCGTGTTGCCGCTGCAGCAGGATTCCTTCCGAACATGACATCACCTGTCGGTGGAAGTCGTCGAACTCCGCTATCCACCCCAAGAGCACCCGCAAGAAGTCCAAGTACCGCGCCTCCAGCCACGCCTGATAGACCCTGGCGGCCTTGTCTTGGCCCCCCTCGACACCCGCAACAACGCTCCTCGCGGAATCCCCACCACCAACATCATCTTCGGAACGAGCACGCTTCTTTCTCTTCTTCTTGCTCTTGCCGGCCTTGCTGCTGCCCCCTACGATTGTGTCGGGATCGCCTCCTCGGGGGGAAGGGCGAGGAAGCTGCGGGACAATACAGAAGGGGTCCCCGCAGTAAAAACAAAGAAGAAAAAGAAGCAGTTCGATAAGAAACAGAGGCAGACTCAAAAATTGTCACGAAAACATAGGCGTAAGAAAAATAGGTCAGAGGTGGATCCTACACCATGTAACAACCTGTGATCACCAGTGGCGACGAATTTAGAAACTGAGTCTCGACCCGATGTTGGCGTTCGTATTTCTGGGCTCGTTCTGTAGGAAGTGTAGTTGTAGTCCGGAGACGGTGCCTGTGCGGTGAGTCACGGACCGCTTGGCGGCGGCTCAAACGATAGGTAGTATCGTACGAGAATCGACATCAAAGACAAATACTACAGTAGTTATTCATGATGATGGGTGCGGACGTCACCCACAGAGATTAAACAAACGAAAAGAAAAGAAAGAACAGTGACCTCAATCCATCCGAAAACAAACCTGTCTTTTCACATGGCCGCTTTCAAACTGAAGACAACGTGCTCTGAGGCGCACCCCAACAAAACGTACCCGGTTTGTGGCCACACGGTTTGCGTCCTCCATGACGTGCATACGTATACAGACATCCGTCTCGTCGAGGGATTTCCGAAAACGCATTATGGCATCCTCTTCGTCGTGGAGTAATCGACTTGTGAAAATCGGTCCAGGGGGGGGGTGCTATCTTCTGTATCCTACGGTATTGGTTCTGGCCGGCGTTTACCTGGGGGTTCTTGGCCGGGTCCAAGAGCTGTGTGAAGATCCTCCTGAGGCAGTGAGCGGCCGCAACCGCCACGGAGGTCTCGGTCTCACGGCCGAGCTCCTTGAGCAGGCTCACGATGCCGTTGGCATTCTCGACGTTCGACAGGACCCCGTACTCGACCTGGTGTGCACAGGGCAAGAGAAAGTGAGAGAGCAAGGGCGTTACGTCTTAGGATATGTACAGAAAGAGAACCAGCGAGACACGACCACGAAAAAAGAAACCTGGGAGTTAAAGGGTTGAGAAAATTCGGGCTCAGAAAAAGAAGGGCTATGAAAAAGTTGACAGGTGCTCGGCTGAGAAGCCTGCACTAAACCTAGATAGTCGATGTCGGGATACCCCACAAAGAAAGAAACAATCGGACTACAAGGATGAGGGTTGCAAAGGGGTGCCGCGTACTGCTGTAGAGCCACGATGGCACCAACCTCTGACGTCAAGATGGCGGTCGCAAAACGGGCGTAGCATCACTCCTCGCCATCGGCGGCACACCTTCGGGCGGGTTTTAAGATAATCAGGCATAAAATAGACTGCTTCGTGTTGTTGTCAGCTTCCGTTCTGACCCCTGTCCATTACAGCATCTCCTTATCTCCATGTACTTGTCGACCTTGACCACGCCTACATGTATAGCGTACCTGGTAGCATTCTTCAAAGTTTCGTTGCTTAACATGCTACCCTGGGTCTTTCAGGAAGTGCGAGGTTAGTGAGACGTGTACCGATTCTTGTCTGTAACGAACGCCGCCGTCATCCAATCATGTGTAGCATTGAAGAGAGGCGGGGTGGTGTGTGGTATATTGCCATTGGAAACCAATGGGCTCTTCTTGTCGACAGACCCCACATTTGGGCCTTTGCTGACATCATGCTACTTGTGCAGGCAGGGACTCGCACAACAGTTGTATTGTCGCCGTAATTACTGGTGTTGACGCATTAGTGCTCCACTCAGCAGTCGACTAGATACCAAACAACAGAGGATACCTCCCGCCTTGTCTACACTGACCAATGGGTAGCAAACAATCAGACGAGAGGGAGGGTTTGGCTGCGTGGGGGTCTTTGGAGCCAGAGAGAGAGCGGGCGCTCGAGACGGCTGAGGAGGTCCAGCGCCGACTATCCATCAAACACCACACGGATGTTGCAGGACTTCCCCCTTTCCATGGGAACCAGCATGGGCACACGCCGACAGCCATCCCTTGCGCGCTGTCGGGCACGCTGCTACTCAGGGAGTCTAGCCTTGCGATGACAGCGGCAACTTGCTCGCTGTCTGGGTCTCCACGCAATGATGATGTGTGTGGACGTCTCGTGCACGGTCTCTGGAAACGAAACCCGTCACGGAAATCGACTTGCCTGACGCAGAACACGTATGCGCTCCTTGACCTCCGTCATCTCGTCTTCTGGGCCAGAGCTCTGCGGGGTGAGCACGGGACAGAGCTGCTGCTTGCCACAGGCAGGGTACAGGGGACTGTCATATTTTTACCTTTTTGAGGGTGTACCCTGAGGAGGCAAAAGTACCTTATCTTGGCTTTAGTATTGATCCTCAATCAATCCAGTTTTTCGATAGGAGATTTCTTGAATCGGAGATTCGAAGCAATGGGCCAATCAACGACCACTCTCACTGCGTATCGTAGCGTTTAGTGTTTAGGGTCATCATGTTGTCTTGCAGCCTGGTCGGTCCGTGTCCTTTTGTGATCTCTGTAGGAAGCCCGTTGCTTTACAATAAAGAAACACACATCGCTATAGTCTACAAGCGCACACGCAACACTCGAGAGCATCTCGCTATCTCGTTCCCTCTACTGCTGTGTGTTCATAAAGGAAGCATCTTGAGGCGAAGGATTGGAGGAAAGCGGCATGTACAACATCCATAACTTCTGTTGGACGGGTCGCGATGAGATAAACTTGCTTGCCCTTTTGGTTCTTCTCCCGATATCGTATCGAGTTTGTATCACCCGATACGATATCTGGCGATATGCTGCTAACCCAAGGTACAATATCGTTCACGGTCCTACAGCAGTAATCTACCGCAGCAGCAGTAGAGTATCGAGTCTAGGAGGCCCGGTCATACAGACTAGTCTATTCGCCAAAGATTGTATCCGGTCGGTTTCAACAAGTGTACAGTACGATCGTTGTGTAGGTACAGCATGTGTTCCATTTTTCTTTGCAGACGACTCCATCCATTTAACAAATCGGTACCCTCTGATGGTGGAAAGAGCCAATTCCGAGACAAAGTTAGCACCGTCTCTGCGATACCCGCAAGAAAGAGTCAGCCCGAACGGCAACCGACGCGTCGCCTTCGATCTCCCCCCCCCCCCGGGACCCGCCCACACTGCCACAACTCGCACCTCCTCTTCTCTCTTGCCTATTGCCTTGCAACAGCAGCAACAGAAAAGACAAGACAACAACAACAACAACTATGAACGTCTTCACGACCCTCTTCGAAAAGATCGCCCCCAACACCCCAATGGCGCTCATGCGCGTGACTACATTAGTCTTCATGCTTCAGGGCGTCATCGCGTGGGGTGTCGTAACCTCTTCCAACGACGGCACTTCGGCCGCTGAGGAAGATTTGTCGATGCACATCACCACCACCAGGTCAGTGAAACGTTCCGCTGTGCAAGCGCACACCACGCGCGAATGTTATTGCGGTCGTCGGAGTGTGTCAAAGTCGGCGGATGTCGTACAGCCCTTTCTTGTTCAGGTCTGTCTACGGTATATCATCGTTTTTTCTGTTCTTGGTCTAAGTACTGTTGACAACCAACAAAAAATATACTACACTGTACGGTCAGGGCGTAGCGTTCATTGACCAGTGACTATTTAGACACACAGGGGACTACAGCAAGTGGGCCGCCGCGTTTCGAGAGCCCTGTCAGGTTCACGGCTCGGACCTTTTACACCGTCGCCAGCTGAATTCCTGTTTACATTTTCGGCCCACTTTCGGCTAATCTTGAGCGACCGATGCGATAGTTGACCAGCACGCAAGATAGACCGAGAGTAGTATTAACCCTTCTTGCTTGTACTCTTGAATGATGATTTACATCACTTTAATTAACATTCGTTGCACAGGAGGAGTACCCGTCGCATGCTGTCCGCCTTCGATATGAGTAGCCTGCATTATGTAGTAGACTATTGCTTCACGTGGTCTCTAGCGTCTCATGCCGTACGCAACCGTCGATGATTAACTTGTCTTCTCGCGCCGCTTCTGCTATATCGTCACATTGATGAACAGCGAGTTCCCCTGGGCGGTTATCATCGGGACGCTGACAGCGTTGATATTATCGGCGTTGACGGGACAGGACGCCGTGGTTGACATTCTGGTGAGGCCAGGCTTGACGTGACGCCGGGAAACAACGATTTTTCTTGTTCCGTTCGTTTTCTTCCCATCCTTCGTTGATAAACGAGTCGTGCAGTAGCAGTGGTGTTCGCCCAAACCACGCGCCGCGTTCAATTTGTCCTCCTGAGACAGCAAAAAGGGCCCGAAACGATGGTCTGGCGTCAATTCTCCAATCCATGGGTGCCCGACGTGATGTTAACAGTTAAGCGGTATCTGTCTAACTAAAAAGAAATACTGGTGCTGTTTGTTTATATTGCAAGTTGTGTTTGCTGAACCAGTCCCAGGATATAATCGAATCTGGTGTGTTAATCTCGCACGATGTAGTGTTCTCGACTAAAGCCATAACCTTTGCAATCTGTGTCCATTGCACCGCACCACCGCCGCGCGGCATGTCAACCACAGGCCGTGATGTTCGTCACGGTGCCCTTCCAAGCATTCGTCGAGACGGTCAGCTTCGTGCTCTTGGTCCTGATGCACGTGAGGTGGATGGGTGTTGATTTGACACGTACGTTATACTGTAGAAGAGAACAACACCTGCACGACATGTCTGCAGTCAAACAACACAGTGTTTGTGCCGTGGTAAATATGCCGTGAGAACGAGCACTATGTAGTTTCTGGCCTCCGCTGGAAGCTTCCGTGAAATATCGACTGGGTCCCATCAACGTCAGCCCAGCCACAGCTTTTTCTTTTAGCCCTGCCAGAGCTTCGTGAAAAAGGAGCAGCGCTCATCGCCTGGTTTCTCGTGCTGTGCATGAAGAACGAACGAGCGAAATCGGTGACGTCATCCCTCTCTCTCTGCTGATTTCGCAAAATATACTCCTTGCGTTCACAATGCGTTTGTATCGTAGGCCCGCTTCTGCGGACCGGCCGAGCGTTTCCTTTCTACCGCCGCACAGTTCACCGTGAACACCTGGCGATATGTGGACAAGGGCAATACCGTCCGCTACAAGGCGAGGGTCAGGGGGCTCAAGAGACAGCTTCTGGTCAAGTCCCGCCTGGCGCGATTGGCGGCCATTTTGGACAGTCAGTCCGGGTAAACAAACATGGACAAACATCGACGCATTAGCGATGACTAGATTATCTGCTTTGGGTTGCCGGTCCGATGCGATACAAAACCCCAGTGCGCGCGTCGTTTCGGGTAGGGTACTATCTGTGAAGGGTAAATTGACAGTAGCCTGACGTCTCGGGGGATAAAGATGTTTCGCATGGCAAGGTTTGTGTGTACTTGCTAGGCACAAGTCTCTTCCACCGACGTTGCACTAGGCGTTCATTCACAATCCACGTTTCTGCGGAAGTTGGTGTGTACCCGTGTATCAGGATCGCCACGCTCCCGTCCGTACCGGCGAGATGAAGTTTGACCGAAACCTCATCGCCCTGAGGAACGGTATCAGCTAGAGCATCATCATTCGAACAGCGTTGCCCTCAACACTGCCGAGATTAGAAGTAGAATTAGCTACCAACTCTTGTCCCAGCCTCGCATGATTCATTTCACAATATAATGCTGGTGCTGGTGCTGGCTGGTGCTGCTGCGTCTCCTTTGTATGCGTTACAGCAACCTTCAGGCGGCCTACAGTGACACGATCAAGGCGCAAGACGAGCAGGTGAAGCCAACCCCCCGAAGTGTTTCCATGCTGTCGCGCTACAATCTCATCCTGCTCTTCTTGTCGTTTGAGCCGCTGGGCAATCATCAAATATTTTCGTTTCGTTGAACTCACGCCTTGACTGGGTGCCCGCCGTCGAAATAAGCACTTTGGTCGTAGCCCCCTAAAGTTCTACCTCCTCCGTCTGCGCCATGTTGATGACCCGACTACTACGTAGAACGACCGCACGCGGTAGGACCTGGAGGACATTTTGCGTTCTCCTCTGAGCTACGGTTTTTCGGCGCGGATAACGAACAAAGCAATCTGGAAACGCCCTCCCGCCCGCCCGCCCGCCCGCCCGCCCGCCCGCCCGTCATCTCCTTTGGTCTTCTCACATGGCCTGTCTTTTATCACTTCCGCGAACGTCCCGGTCTCCCAGCTTTCCAGTCTTACGCTCCAGTGCAATGACTTCCAGCGTTCCAACACGGTGACCCAGGGGGATTTCTCGCACTACATGTGGTGCGCCGAGCGACAAATCGACGGGCTGACGGCGAGGAAAGCCCAACTCGAGACAAACCTTGCTCTCTTGGAGGCGGACGTGAGTCAAAAGGGGGGGTGTAACCCAGTACTTTTTTCACGTCTAGAGTTCTACTGTACAATAGACGTTTTGTCATGTGAGGGGTACCCCGACGAACGCTACCGTTTGCGATGCTATCCTTCCTGATTTGAAATGCAACAAGCAAGAATTTTCAGTCCCCACGTGCACTGAATCTACCCCCACTAACACGACGTTGTGTCCGCTGCACCGCTGTCTCGATGCACGCGACCTCAGGCCCAGACGTGCGACCGACTGCACGACCAGCTGCAAACCGACCTTATGTGCACGATCCGGGACGACGAGACGACTCTGGGCAAGAAGGATGCGGAGATATGCTCTCTGACCAAGGTGAATCACGCAGTGGGTTGCGACGGGGGTGCCAACAGAAGGGAACTTGCTGCTGATGCTATTGTGCGCGCTCGAGAATTCCTAGCAGGTTTATCCGGTTGACGTTGTTGCAATGCTAGCACACCACCGCGGTTTTCACGTTGAGGTCGATGGGGCAGAACACATTCGACGCTATGTACGCTAGCTGCCTGTCTGTGCGTGATAGCGTTGAATGACACCAGACCACCACCTCCGTTTTCCGTTGTATTGCGCTCCGTGCCACGATGACAGGACAACGACATCCTCCGCCAGGTCAACGGCGACAAAGATAGCGAGATCGAGCGATTGAAGACCCAGCTCGCCCTGCGGGTGAAGGACCCCGAGAAAGGTCAGCGCTTGTGAAAACGTGTTGCCGAGGTGTTGTGTGTTGCAGTAGTTCGGGGGGACTCACTGTGCAGAGGTCGTCTCTCTCAGCCGTGGATACTCCTTGAGCGGTTGCTTTGAGGAAGGTGTCCGACAAACGATCGATGTACGGACGTGTAGTAGCTGGACACCACAACCCGAGCCGAAACGATTACTTGCGGCGTATTTTCTTCGTAGGACGGTGTGCTTGTTGACTAGGTGGCCAACGTCTTCGTCGGACGGGCATGGTCAGGTGGAAGTTGTTGCAGCTCGTCCTCTACCAGCTTGTTGTGTGTCCTTCCTGCTCGAACGTTGACAATAGTTTCAGAAGCCTGTGTCGAAAATTCGACGATTCTGTGCATGGTTTTTCTACCATCAAGGTTTCCCGGAGATTATATGTAGCGAATGTGTACGTTGTAAAGACGGGTGTTTGGACGGATGCGTCCCATGCCCTCTACCAACAAAATGCTATTCATGGAAAACACGAATTAAATCATAAACCCGGTCGCGAGTGGCGTCAAGAGCGCGAGACTCTTCTGTGTCTCACTACGCGCAGTCGTACCAACAACAACGTTCCCTTGCTTGCTCCCTGTTTTTTTTTTGTTTTGCAGTTGACGGCGCGCAGGACATCGCCGACCGCTCGACCGAGCCGCCCAGCCCCAGGTACGATACCAAAATTGCATGAAGGTTGCTCGGTAGGCTTGCCAGCAAACGTTTCCGATCGTTTTGTAATCCCCGTTGTCGGTATGAAGGCTGCTGTGCATGTTTGTTTGACGGTTGTGGCGACATTGTTTTCGGGATGCGTGCAGGGGTTGCTCTGCTCTGAGCTCTTTATGTACCAGATGTCACTGATGGCTGCATACGAGGGCGCGTTCTGCGATGCTTCGTTGACGGGATTTTTGCTGGCTACGATACTTTGCGTCGCAATGTCAATCGCAGTAGGATAAAGTGTTACGTTTGAGCAATCTAGTGGGGAAGACTGGGGCGAGGTACCGTTCAGTATCACCTTCTTCAAGCATTTCGGCCGTTCCATCCCATAATATGTTCCGAAGAAACGAGCAGCAAGAGACCGTCGGCCTAGTTACTTGTTTTTCCACCGGTTCCATGCTCATCCCCGCATCCTCCCTCACACTTCGCGGTCCCCCCCCCCCCCCCCGCGCCCGCCAACTCTTGTCTTGTCAAACAAACAGCTTGCACAGCAGGTGGGGAAGCGTGGACGGCGCCTCGATTTTCCGCGCCAGCAACACCTCCGCCGCATTCAAGGCCCCCGTGGGCAGGAAAACGCCCGACTCCTCGGCCGCCGTCATCGCCGCTGCCGCTGCCGGGACCTTCGTCTACTCCAAGGCCTCCCGCCGTGCGACCGTCAAGTCGGCCACCAAGATCGTCGTCGCCAGCACCGTTTCCGACGCTGACAGGGCCGCTGCGGAGGCATTGATCGCCGACGCCGGGCTTGAAGCCTGGGGGCTCACCATGAGAGCTACTACCTCCGCTGGGTGAGGGTGCAGCACGTAGTGTTCGTCCCATATCCTACAATACCATAGACGACCTGTTGTGTTCTTGTTGAAATTGTTGTTGCTGTTGCTGCTGCTGCTGCGCTTGCCATGGAGTGTGGTGCCTGCAGCATTGAAAATGAACTGTGTATCGGGCTCTGATTTTGCTTTTCTCCCTTCGATATGGTCTAAGGTTGGTCACGGAATAGGAAAAGAAGCAACTTTTCTGGGTCCACCCGTTCATGAACAACGCGAAACCTTTCCCGAAAGATATTAAAAAAAAACTTTCCCGAAAGATTAAAAAAAACTAGCCAAACACGCGCCCACTCAAATTTGACGTGGGTCATCTTCCGTATGGTAAGAAAATTGCCCGAAAATTTATGTTACACCCGAACGGCATGGGACTCCAACGGAGCTAGGCAATGTTATTTTCCTGTGTAGCACTATCTAGCTGGCAATAGAACCTGTGCACCTAACTTACTGCGCGTGTGTGCCCGCCTGCCCCATTTTTCCTTCCGCCCGACAATCAATGCAGAAACTGAATGCCAGCAGTTCGTTGATGGACCCGAAGTCTGACCACTTCTTCAGGGCCTACCAGCGCCCACGTCACTCCCAACACCCACGTCACCCACGACATCTTGATGGACCTGAAGTCCGACCACATGTATCTTCAGGGCCTACCAACCTCCACATCACTCCCAACACCTTCGTCACCCACGACACCTACCATCTACGACGAAGGGGCGCCTTCACCAGCCTCTTCCTGACACGTCATCGCCAGACGGTGTCCACACCCACCCACCACCCAGGAGTTTCTCAACTCCACCAACTGTTCGAAAGAATCAATCGTCTAAAGCCCGTCAACGTATCGCCTCGTTGCGTTGCTCCGTGTATCACATGTTACCGCTGCTCAACCCGAGCCGTGTTTGGAAAGTTGTTTCCCTCGATAGGTCCATCAACAAGTCACCAAGCAACCCTTTCACGTACTATGTACCGGAATATAGAAGGAGACCATCACGCGTCTCCGCGCTCCAACACCCTCCTTTTGCCAATATAAACGCGCCCCCCTCCTCTTTCTCCGTCCCGTCTTTCTTTGCAGGGATGCGAGGCGAATGGCCTAACGACTACGGGATGCACGGCAATGAGAACACCCCGCCCCTTCATACCATTAATCATCGAAGGCCTTCTTCTTGCCGGGGCCGGCGTTCGGGGCATCCTTTCGCCCTGCCGCAGGTTTCATGATCTTGACCCCGGAGCCCCCCCCTGCCGACGTTCAAGAGCCCCTTTTGGGGAGTTTCGGCTTCCTTGGAGGGCGTGATAACCCGCGTCTTCAAATCCTTCGCCGACTTTTGGTGTTGTGGGGGGCAGCAAAAAAAAAGGGGGGGGGGGAGGGTGATGCATTGCTGAGCGCTGAGACCATGCACTTGATATTTTTTTATAAGCTCTCCGGCGTTTATCTTTTGAATTGAGTTTTGTCTGTCATGGGGTTTCCCAACTAGACCTTGACAAGTAGGTCCTCGATCCAGTCTTCTTTCGATCGGGAGATTTCTTGAATAATCGGAGATTCCAAAGCAAGATGTGAAGGGGCAGAGTGGAGAGACAACAGGGTGTGAGGAAGAGGCACATCCACGCAGCTTCTTTGTGTCGCATTGCAGAGTCCGCCGGTGGAAGTCTCGTAGCAGCCACCTGCAGGAACCAAATAAATAGTCGTGCCCGGTCTTTGTTCGCCGTGGACGCACACGTACGTAACTTTGTTCGATAGAGGCAGCAGCAGTTGAGTACATGTACCGCCCCCTACATGAGAACTTCTTGTTTGTTTTATTGCGGACCCCCTCGCCGCGTATCGGCTTCCCCTTAAATAAACCGAGCATCTGCTCTCTTCATTTTCAGCCACAGTTTTGGCCACCGCAAAAGCGGGGTTCACTGATCTTACCAGTGTCCAGGGGTCCCAGTTTCGCCCGGTATTTGTTTTTGTGTGGAGGGTGTGAGATACTTCACATCTATTCTTGGACTGACACGCACAAGTACACGTGTGCGTGTTCGGTCCTGGCGCTCAACATATACATCACCCTCCCCGCCTGGCAACGCTTGCGAGACTGCAGACCGGCGGCAGGTCACAACGTTAGACTAGACGTTCAAAGATGACGGAGGGCCTCTACGATACGTCAAACGCGAATCCCACCTCCACAGCAGTAGTCACTGCTGCACTACTCCTGCACAATGCGCAGCAACGACAACGAGACCTTGCACCACTTGAGACCCTCTACTGCTGTGCGCGAAGCTCACGACTTGTTGTTGGCTGCCAAAAACCGAGCGCCTGATGTAGTTGCCAAGTTCAATTTTCGACCTCAATAACATAACGCCCCACGGCAGAGGCGCGGAGGCCATCCATACTAAACTCCCTACCATCTATAGTCTATGTCCTTCGAAGTACATGTATCCGTTTTTCGGTAGCGTCTGAATACAGGTAGCGCCATCAAAGCACTGAACAGCTTGGCAGGTATTTATTTTTCGCACCTAAGAACTTGGCACTTCCATGGAGCCTCAAAAATCTCAAATTCTAATAACTTGAGGACATCGTAAGCCGAACCTGAGCACCATTTGTCAGCCTGGATAAGAACCTCCACTAAAACATATACTGCGGCCATTTGTACCATAACCCTAGGAACTAAGAATCCCAGCCTCGGTCCAAACCAGAGGCGCTTACTGCTTTAGCCTACAACAACTGCTTCCGGACGGTTGTTGAGCGGTCTCCCCACGACTGCCTACGCAAAACAAAGCAAGCTTAGTTACGAAAAACTAGCAGGCAGCACGCAGACTCTATAGCCCTAACCCTGAGCCCCAACTAACCCCCCCATCTATACGTTTTATCCAGAATGGTTTCTTACTTTGAGAAATCTGCGTAGACTACTGCTGCTGTCTTCCTAGGACTCCTCCTGTTCCGAGCTTGGCGGCGTCATCTCTCCTTCGAAGTCGTCGTAGTCAACGAACACCACTCCTCGACCCTCGAAATCGATCGTGTTGGCCACCTGTAGAGGGAATCACGACACCATCATGAGGGTGCGCGTCAGCGTGCCGCTAGTCTTATCAGTAAGACGCTAATAATCTCGTTGTGAAACCAGAGGGCAACGCACCTGTTCAACATACATACGTAGATAACCACGCGTGGAATCCTCCCACAATATCATCGACTTAAACCGGATTTCCGGGCACTCCGGTCACTCTTTTCCTAATCGCCGTTAGTGAACAGCTAAGGGTTCTGGACCTTGCACCAAGAAACATTCTGCGCGTTTCGAGTGTCGTACAGCAGCCAAATCGATTCTTCCAGCATTGGAGTGGAACACATGTTGGACAAGATGGTAAGACTTGAACCCATCCCCTTCGGCAAATGCTGTGGTCATATCTCCAACGGGTGCGATAGTCTTTCTGTGATCGTCTATTTTATGACAAGACGGCAGATTTTTCGGGGGAACAACGCTTGAGTCTCTTTTTTCTTCACCTTCGTCCCGATCCCCGGAACCTCCCCCGCGAAGAGCACGTCCCCTCCCCCCGTCTTCTTGGCGCCTCCGCTCGCCGAAACCTTGTCGGCCAAGGCCTTGGTGTCTTTCGTCAGAACTGCCAGCTTCCGGAATGTTCCCCCCTTTTGTGTTTGACGAAAGCGAGAGAGGCGGCCGCATCATGAGCAACAACAATCATAAGCGTTTGACGAAAGCGGGAACGGCGGCAGCGTCGTAAGCATCAACAACCAACAGCGTTGTTTGACGAAAGCGAGAGCGGTGGCAAGAACAACAGAGTCGTGTTCGCAACAACTGTTCACAGTAAGAAGATCTCGTCGGTACAGTTTTCTCTACTGTTTCTCATGGTGTTCTCAATCACGCCCAACCCTAACCCTGATGTTGTCACACAACACAAGAATTATCCCACAATCCCGTCAAGAGTGCCTATTGGCGTTGAGGCACCCGTCGTCAGAGGAGGGAAGCGCGAGCGGCTGTTCAAGCACAAGTCTGAATCTCTCATCTCGCTCATATCGGAGTCAGCAGGAGGACGGACGCGGTAGAATCGGCTGGCATTCCCGAGCCCAAACCCTCCTCAACAGGGATCGGTTTCTGTAGCAACAAAGTAGAGGGTGTTGCTTTCTCTCTCTCTCCGAGAGGGGTGAAAACGTCATCCCTCGAACAAATGCCTGGGCAGTTACAACGCTCGTCGGCATAGTACCCTGAAAAGCCGGCGAGCCTCTGTGCTACCACCGACAGATGATTGGTATGCATAGGAGACAACGAACGTTACACAGCTAAATAGATGCCTATCCTGTCCACCAGCACGTTGGTACCTACCGGGCACGAGGCATGCATCAACCACACCGAACGATACGACCGAAAACACAAAACACGATTTCGTCCCCATGGCAAACAAGACCGTCAGTCAGTTGCACCACCTACTCCGTACAGTGGGGGTCTCGGTTTAGCGACCTCGTGTATAGCGACATGCCCTGTTAAGCGGCCACAAAATCACGTGGCACCGCCGCACCGCGGTAGTTTAACCGAAGTCATTGTTAGTTCGGATTAGCGACCTGCCCTGAATAGCGGCCACATTTCGTCGTGACACTAGGGTCGCTAATCTCGGCCCCCCACTGTACATACCTCGAAAATCTTGGAGTCGACGGGGTTAAGCGCCACCGACACGCCCCCCTTGTCGTACCCCGAAAGACGCAGGGCGTCGCCCGCCAGCGGACCCAGGACCTTGAGCAGACCCGCGTCTTGCTCCTTCATTCCCAGCACGTTCTGTCTCGCGTACAACCGACCAGAAAGGAAAGCAGCAAAACATCATATGACACATCAGTAAGTGAAAACATATTGGATAAAGTATGGAATCGGCTGAGCTGGGGTTGCATATGGAATGAAGCATACAATCGACGAAGTTGGGGTTGGGATCTGCATGCCCCCTGCCTGGTCTGTTTTCGAAAAACAATTAACTTTCTTTTCGTAGGCAGTCCACATCAGTTACGCCAGGCGGTATACATATGCATGATGTTCCTGCCTGACGCAAGACACTGCAATTGAGTGGACCTGTGCCGCCCCCCAAAAATTGGCTTCGTGTATTCACCGGCCGGGGGAATGCGCAGATCCTTGAAGGCGAACAACAAACATAGAATCTCCGTAGATCAGTATCGAGCTCCGGGAACCTCCCCCAAATTCCTCCGCTCATCCCAAGAGCCACGGGCTGTACACGTCTGCCGTACGGTTTGTGTCACACAGATGGTAACACTAACACTCGTAGCAGAGGGTACGGGCACCGTGATGATACACGGGGACTCTTCTTTCTTCTCTGCAGCACTCCCTCTTTCCGCTCCGCCCTTGCGCGTCTCCCTCTCGTGAAGTTTGTACACTACTGAAGCAAGTCTCACTCGCAGTGCGGCTGGGGAAGCACTCTACAGTGTTCCCCCTCGAGGGAAACCGCATTAAGGATGAGTAGCACCGGCCGGTGAGACAGACGGGGCTTCGCGTGCGCATCCTCCTGCGCAGAACGAGAGATTTTCGAGGCTGGAAGAGCAGGTCTCGCGGTTGGCGAGTCATATTTGAGGCGTCGATGAGGAAGGAGCCTGGCGACGTTGTGGCGGGCCACGCTAGTGGCCGCCCCAGCGGGGGCCAAGAAGACACCCTGCCGCGGCGGGGTTTTCCCTCAACATGCGACGAGTGGGCCAGGGCCACGTCAACCGGCTGGACAGCAGAATGGGGGCGAATCCCTGTCAAGATGAAGTATAGCATATCTGCTAGATGTACAGTGCCCACTTTGCTACAAGTAAGCGCTGACGTCGTCAGGGCTGACCTGTGGCATAATGGATATGCTGTAACATCTCAACAGTACCAGCAGGCGGAGTGGGCCCGGGCGTAGGACTGGGCCGCGAGGAGGGTGTACCGCAAAGGTGGGATAGATACCCGTAATCAACGGAAATGGAGCCTAATAAATTGTCACTCGCAGCAGCAGCAACATGAATGTCTCGCACCTGGAGATGGAGAGTCGCAGTCACAGATACGATTCGTAGACAAGAGCGCTTGTCAATGCCGCCACAATTGTCGGCTTGGCTCGGATGGATTATCCCGGTGTGCATCGCCCACGACGAGAAACAACT